TGGGAGGACACCAATTTGTGGTGGCCGGCCAGAAAATCTTTTTGACCATTTTGACCCATGGCCGGCCGGCCATGGGGGGTGGCCGGCCGGCCACCTGCAACTCTGAAAGTTGGCCGGCCATGATCCTTGCAATGTGTATATTCCAGCTGTATATCTGTTTTCTCCCTAAAAAACCTGTATCCGGGGGACAACTTTTGGGGGGAAACTTGGCTTGTTTTCCCCCAATTTTTTTCCCTCCTTTTCTTCCCCTCTTTGGGCTATATAACTGGCCTCCAGCATTTGTCTAAGGGTTGGAAAAAATTTGCCTTAAGCCTTGTATACACATCTCCCTCCATCTCTCTCTTTCAAGCTCAAGCATCCAAGTTCCTTGCACCATTCCTTCATCACTACCTAGCATCACCACCACTACTCCATTTCCAGCAGCTTGGGGAGCTTTCCAGCAGCTAGGAGGCATCACTTCTCAAGCCAAGAAGCAACCAAGGGTTGGTCTCCAAGGGTAAGTGTCAATTCCCTCTTTTTGAGCTTAATTTTGTAACATTTTTCTAGCTATTTTGCTTGCTGTTTTGAGCTCCGACCAAAACTGAAAGTACCCTTTATTTGAGCTCTATTTCATGATTTATTAAGGGAATTTTGTCATTTGAGGTCCCCATCTTGCACTTCCTTCTTTATCTCTCCTTTAGGCCCTAATCTTGCATGTTATTTTTGGCCTATGTGTATTCTGTTTTGGGGCATGTCATAAACTGTAAGTGAGCTTGTTTTGAGCCCTTCTTCAACATTGAAGAAGGGCTCATCACTGGTTAGATACCCCATGTGCTACTTGCTTTGAAATCCATGTTTTTGCCTCATTTTGCATGTTTTTTAGCCTATTTTTATTCTGTTTTTGGACCTTGGTCCGAACTTAAAGTGGCCATATTTTGACCCCATTGTCATGTTTCATTAAGGGTCTTTGTCTGTTTGATGAAAGTTTTGTATACTTTGTGTTTTGACCTCTTTTGGGCCCTACCTTGCATGGCATTTTGAGCATACTTGTATATTTTTTGGGGGGTTTCCATAAACTGTAAGTAGTCATATTTTTGGTCCCTATTCAGTGTTGTAGAAGAGTCTTTTTCTGTTTGGGCTTTGCATCTACCACTTGCTTCATTGCCTTCCTTGCGGAGCCATTTTTGTATGATAATTTAGTCCCACTTTTGCTTATTGTTTGGCCATGCTTTGAACTGTAAAAATGCTTATTTTGGGGCTGCCTTGCTTCTGTCTTTTCATTCCATGTACCAATTATGCATGCTTTGTATAGCTGTAAGCCATTTCATGTACCTAGTTTTGCATTTCGGGAGAAATTCCATGCATCGGGTGTCATTTCGCCTTGTTTCGGGGCTGTTTTGCCCCTCATTTTGCCACTGATTTTTGCATATTTGCATATCATATTCCATGTCTTTGCCATGTCTCATTAGAGTGGCATTTCGGTGCTTGAGGGTCGGTCCTCGGGTTACGTGCATGCGTGCACGCATCTTGAGTGTCTCATTTTCATCTGATGGCCTCTTATGTGAGTGTGGCTGAGGTTCACTCATGTTGGTGTAAGTCCATTGTGCATTGTGTATGCCATTTCATTTCATAGCATTGCGTATGCTAAGTTGTATGTTCGAGTTGTGTGTTAGAGCATTGCGTATGCCTTGTTACATCGTGCATTGTGTATGCCATTTCATAGCATTGTGTATGCTAGGTTGTATCTTAGTTGCATTTCATGCATGTCATGCATATTGCATCGTGTTTGGGATAGGGGTTAGCCCGAGCACGGGAAACGAGGTACGTTTCGTACTGCGAGTGACGGAACGTGTCTCAATTCCCCAGTCACCGACACTCCGGATTATCCATGATGGAGTTAGGTCTTGTTGTGTTTACATGTGCATTCATTCTGTATTGAGTTGCACAACTCGACCCCTCGGCCATCATGCATCGATATGCGTGATTGGTGGCACGAGGATCGAGGCATGCATATATCTGTGAAAATACATTGCTATGCCCCTTTCCTGCTCTCTGTTGCAGCAAATCAAGAATTGGCAACCTTCCGGAGCTTGGCGCGCTTTCCAAGAACAATTGTAAAACAGAGGCTAATCGGGGCATCCCAGTGGATTTCCGCGCAAGGCAGCCCAGACATGCATCGTTCAGAAGAGTCAAGGCAGTCCCTGGCTTGCATGCCAGTTGATCATTTTTCTTAGTTAATTTGTAAATTAATTAGGAATTTGTACATATTTGGACTGTATTATTTATTTGGACTGTACTATTCATTTGGGACTGTATTATTTTATTCGGACCCTCTGCGTGAGGGCATAACTGTAATAAGTGTGCGTGTGTGTGTTGTATGTTTTCCAACCCCACGTCTTTCTTCCCTTTCATTTACCTGCTTATGATGGTCAGATTAGGGCATATTTCAATTAGCATACAGTATGACAGCATGTTTGCATCATTCATCTGTTTTGCATGCACCGGGCTCGGCGCATCATACTAACTGTATTGTATTTTCAATTCCAAATTGAATACATGTTAGCTGTAGCATTTCATATGCCATGTTTAGAATAGCCGAGCCTGCTATAATTGCATTATTGCATGTAATGCATTACGCACTTCTGTATAATTAGGATCATGCATGGATTTCTAATAAGTTTCTGTTTTGGCTTGGAGTACTTTGTATGTTTTATGCTTTAGCATCCTTGCATGCGTGTGAGTGACTGCCATGAATAGCATGCTTACCATGAGGCTAATTGCTTATGTGATATATCTGCCTGAATGCCTGTGGGTGAAGGTTGGGTTATTTGGATTGGAACAAATCATTGACTGTGAGTTCTAAGCCCACTAGATAGTGGCAAAACCATCTTTTCTTAAGCCCACCTGAGGGTGGCAAAATCTGCATTTCAAGCCTACTTGCGAGTAGCAAACCATCTTTCAAAAATAAACATGAAATGTCTTGTTCTAATTCGGGCGATCCAGTCTATACTTGTATGCTGTGTGCATCACATAGTAATCTAGGCTAATAACCGGAATAAGAACACACAATGTTTTCAAAAATAGATATCATGGTTAGTAGAGGCCGATCTTTGATCGGGCGAGCGGGGGTGCTCACGAAGTGACCTTCCCCAATTGTACCCAAGTTCCCGAGCCGAGGCAACTTTGGTGATGACGGACACGTGGCCTTAGGCAAACGAGTCAGGGTTTCCTAAATTTCCCAAAATAAAATATTTAGGTGGCGACTCTGTATCTGGCAAAGCAGTCCATGTTTGGCACTTCTTTCAAAATCTGTTTTCTCAAAACGATTTGCCGGATTTGGACTCTTTGGTTCAGACTTAGAACCGTGACAATTTGAGAGTCCTGAGCTGTAGTGACCCCAAATGAACAGAACGGGAGCTCAACCCTCCTGGGGCGTTCGGGGACGTCTATACCAACCTCGGCCGGGCAGCTCTAACGGTTTTTCTTGTGACAGGAACCTCAGTCCCTAGATAGTCCAACTGAGTGAGGAGTCCCGATCTACTTTCATCTAGTGCGGAATCCAGTATGCACAATTGGTGCGGTGAACGTGGATCACTTCATCTCTAAGCTCTGCGCTCAGTTCCGGCGATGGGGATTGAAGACATCCCGCCTACAACACATACTCCACAAACGGAGAAGACGAAGGACAAAGGCTTGGCACTCCCAACAGTCTTGGAGGAACAAACTGGAAATAATAACCGGACCCCTGAATCCGTCGAGAATCGATTACCCTTCGCTGGAGGTTCTTCTCATCATTTTCTTCTGGAAAAGGATTACAGAGATCGAATCATAGACTCCATGGGAATGGAGATACAGGAGTTGAAAGCCCAACTTAAAAGGGTGCTGGGTGATCCAACGGAAAAGAAAACTGAAGCTGAGCCCTTTCGTTTGCGACAGAGGAGCTCATCTATAGAGCCACCAGTGAAGAAGTTTCCCAGAAATGAGTCCGGGCAACAAAGCCAGCCTATCCCGGTACAAAGTGAGGCGGCAAGCAGCCACATCCGTGGGTCACGCCGGAGAAGGGCTAAGAGGCAGAAGACGGTTAGCCAACAGACTGAATTCCCTCCTCAAGACCTTTGTACTTGGTTGCTCGGCAACAAGCAGAACGAGAAGTGTCGGGATCATTTGGACCGTACCGTTCACCAGAGAGAGCACCGAACGCTGGATAGGTTCATTTCCTCGCCATTCTCCCTGGAGATTGAGACTAGAAGACTTCCAAAGAAATTCACTCCACCAAAGTTCACTTCGTATGATGGGAAGTCGGACCCGCTGACACATATTAGCCATTGTAGACAGATGATGTCTCTATGGAGCCGAGATGAGGCACTGATATGCAAAGTCTTCCCATCCAGCTTGGGAGAAACCGGACTTCAATGGTTCGATCGACTCCCCGCTGGATCAATTCATGGCTAGAAGCAGCTCTCTGAAGAGTTCCTAGCCAGGTTCGTCTCCAACACTAAGATCTCGAAGGAGCCGGATACACTGTTCGGCCTCCGAAAAGAGCAGGAGAAAACGCTGCGCAGTTACGCAAAGAGGTACTGGGAAGAATACAATGACCTAGAGGAAAATGCGTGCAGCGAGCAGATGGCCGTTATGTCTTTCAAACATGGTCTGCGCCCGGAAAGTAAGTTGAGACAATCACTTACCAAGCGCCCGGCCACAGCATTGAAAGACATGCGTGCCAGGATTGAGCATTACGCTCGCCTCGATCATGATCAGATCCCCATCGAGGTAGCATCAGCAGAACAAACGCTTGGCACAAGAAGAGAACAGATCGAGGAGAACACCGAGGGATCGTAGTGAATGAAGTGGATAAGTCCAAATCCCACGAAGCCGTCGTAACCGTATTCAAAGAGCCGATCTATCAAATCTTGGAAAAGATCAAGAGAGAGCCCTTCTTTGTCTGGCCACCGAAAATATTGAGAGATCTGGCTCGGTGCAATCAGAAGCTCAGATGCACCTATCACCAAGACAGGGGGCACATGAATCAGAACTGCAGGGCACTAAAACAACACTTGGAGGACTTGGTAGCAGCTGGGCACCTCCGGGATTACATTGATCACGATAAGGAAGTGATCGAACTGGGGAACCCACCACCAGAACAAAATATTGAGCATCCACCTCGCTTGATAATTGACGTTGTTAGGCCCATAAAGGTCATAGCCCACTATGAACAACCCAAGCCCATCACTTAGAGCCCAACATATAACCCAACTGAAGAGATCCTGAACAGCTGGAAGCCAACATGGCACGAAGAACCAAGGATATTCAGACATGTGGTTGGCAAAGGACAAGCCACATCAGCAGACAAAGATCTGGAAAGTTATTGCCACTGCACATCGCCATTAATGCAGTCCATCACAACATTTATTACGACAACACCTCTCCGTCGGAACAGCACCCCCTCACCCTGAACAAGGTAAGCTACAACATAGACTTTCGGCCAAGGTGGCAGGTCGGAAGGGACGACGAAATGATTACCAAAGGATATAAGTAGACGTTGAAGACAAGAAGAAGGTTAAGTTTTCTATCTCCAATTCACATCTCTACGTTTCACTTCTCTCTCTCTCTCTCTAACTTGCTCGTCGGAGGGTTCGCTGGGGGACTCTCCGTTCCCCGTTGAACTCCTGTGCAGGTTCTCAGGTGGGCTTGGCCATTCAGATATCGGGTGGAGAAGCGTGAACCAGTCCGACCCATTCCCTCTGGAACTCGTTGTATCGTAACTGTATTATCAATAATAAATGTGATCCATGGGACAGCGACTCAAGAACTTGAGGAGACATTGAAAGAAGAGATTGCTAAGGCTGAGCAAATCCAACAAGTCATGTTAGTGGATCCTGCAACGAAAAAGGTACGCGCGGCACCCAAATCCCCCTTGTGTACTGTTTCATTTACTAGAAAGGATTTAGAAGGCATACAGCACCCACATACTGATGTACTAATTATAACTGTGGGAATTGTGAAATGATTTGACGTAAAATGAGTCCTGGTAGATCAAGGCAGTGCAATAGACATATTGTATTATGACTTGTTTAGAAAGCTTGGTCTCTTCGAGCAGCACCTCACCCCAGCGGCAGCCCTGATAGTTGGCTTCAATTCGCAGCCAGAATGGCCGCTTAGCAGAATAATGTTGCCAGTCGTGGCAGGAACAAAAACCCTCCAGATAGAGTTCCTATTTATTAATACACCATCCGCTTACAATGCCATACTTGGTCGTCCATGGATTCAACAAATGGAGGCAGTCCCTTTTACCTACCACCAGTTCATCCGATTCCCAACGGAACACGGAGTAGAGCAGATCTCAGGGGATCAAGTTGCGTCCAAACATTGCTTCATGGTGGCATTAAAGGCAAAGCAGCTCTGCAATCAGGTACAGACAGTAGAAGTGGTCGAACAACCAGTCTTAGAAGATGTAGGGGGAGCCCCAGAGGAAAAGATAGTAAAGGATTTAGAGAAAGTCCTGGTAAAAGAGGATGATCCAGAAAAGTACTTCCTTATCGATACCTCGCTAGGCGTCGATGAGAAACTTTAGCTACTGAGGGAAAATATGGGGGTGTTCGCATGGTCAGCATATGATACTCTAGGGTTGGACCCAGAATTTGCTTGCCACAAGCTCAACATCAACCCTTCTGCTCGGCCCGTCGTACAGAAAAGTCGGAGATCATCAGTTGAGCACACTGAAGCAGTAATTGCCAAAGTCGAAAAACTCCTGGCATCGGGAGCAATCAGAGAAGTTCAGTACCCGCAATGGCTGTCCAACACAGTTGTAGTAAAAAAGAAGAACGAAAAATGGAGAGTTTGCGTTGACTTCACTTGCTTAAACAAAGCCTGCCCTAAAGATAACTTTCCGCTGCCTCGCATCGATCAGCTAATAGACTCAACAGCAGAGTATGAACGCATGAGCTTTCTGGACGCTTATAGTGGCTATCACCAGATACCATTGTTCGGTCTGGATCAAGAAAAGACAGCATTTATCACTCTGAGAGGAACTTACTGCTACAAAGTGATGTCGTTCGGCCGCAAGAACGCTGGAGCAACCTACCAGCGGATGATCACTCGGATGTTCAAAGATCAACTTGGGAAAACGATGGAAGCTTATATAGATGATATGGTAGTAAAAAGCAAGTTCTCTATAGACCACCTTACAGACTTAAGAGAAGTTTTTGACATCCTGAAAAACCATTAGCTTCGCCTCAATGCCTTGAAATGCGCTTTCGGGGTAGGAACAGGGAAGTTCTTGGGATATATGGTCACTCACAGAGGAATCGAGGCGAATTCGGACCAAATCAAAGCAATACAAGATCTTGAAGTACCAATAAAGGCTAAAGAGCTGCAGAAACTGGCTGAAATGGCAGCCGCACTAAATTGGTTCATCAGCAAATCTTCAGATCGAATGAAGCCCTTCATCCAACTTTTGAGGAAAAGGGTAGCGTTTGAATGGAGTTGCGATTGTACCGAAGCACTACAAAGACTCAAAAGATACCTCAGCACACCACCTCTTTTGTCCACTCCAAAACCAGGAGAAGATCTGTACCTATATCTACCAATCTCAAATCATGCCGTAAGCGCAGTATTAATTTGAGAAGTTAACAAGGAACAGAGGCCAGTATACTGTGTTAGCAAGACTTTACTAGATGCCGAGACACGGTATCTACCCTTGGAAAAGTTAGCTTACGCACTGCTTATCGCCTCAAGAAAGTTACAACACTACTTCCAGGGGCATACCATCAATGTCCTCACTGAATTCCCCCTTAGATCTGTATTCAGCCGAGCCGATTTCTCTGGCTGAACAGCAAAATGGGCGATAGAACTTGACGAGTTTGACATTCGGTATCAACCCAGGATAGCAATCAAGGCCCAGGTTTTAGCAGATTTCGTCGCAGAATTTGCTCCTACCCAAAGTATCGAGCCGGGGAATTCGAGTTCGGCACAGGTGCCACGCACCACCGAACAGGGAAAACCCTACGCTTCGGAAGCATGGAAACTCTTTATTGGAAACATCTGGCAGCTTTATGTTGACGGGTCATCCAATAACCGAGGCTCGGGGGCAGGAGTAGTACTTATCTCACCAGAAGGATTTATCTGGGAACAGGCTCTCATGCTTGGTTGGAAGGCTTCAAACAACGAGGCAGAGTACGAAGCATTATTGGCTGGCTTACGTAGTGCCAAACACTTTAGTGCAGAACAACTTCTTGTTTTCAGCGATTCACAACTAGTGGTAAACCAGCTTTCCGGGGTCTATGAAACACGAGATGAAAGAATGGCTATGTAAGCAGGTAAGGCCAAAGACTTACTCAGAAAATTTCAATCCATACGAGTGGAACGAATTAGTAGGGACAAAAACAGCCATGCTGATGCTCTGGCTTGCCTCGGATCATCAGTGGATACCAAAGATGCTAGAAAAGTTTGGGTTGAGTTCGTGCCAGAACCAAGCATTGCATCTCCAGTCCTCTGCAGCAACTTAGAGCCGAGCTGGATGGATCCAATACTAGCTTTTCTAAAATCTGGCACTCTCTCCGAAGACAAAAAGGAAGCCAACAAAGTCAGACAAAGGTCAACTCGGTTCTGGATCTCACCATCTAGGAAGCTGTACAGACGCACCTATCTTGGCCCTTATCTTCTATGTATGCATCCAAATCTGGTCGAGAATGTTCTCTACGAAATTCACGATGGAATTTGTGG